CTGAAACGTTTTCTCTTTTGCGGGTTGCGAGAGATCCCTCGTCTCCGCCTTAATCTTGTCCACCACGTGTCATTATATCCCTAAAAAAATCGAATAAAGAGATTTTATCAAACCATTTTCCACAAATCTTGTTCACATTTGCTCGATGGATGCAATGACGCCTCTCTAACTTGCTGATCATCTCGACCTCCCGTAGCTCCCAATCAAGGTTTATGTTAAGCTTTGACACTCGTTGGGTGTGGATACTCCTCTGTTGTGCCGTGCAGTTTAGTGTGCATGCAGGTGCAATGCGGTAGGCTATTTATAAAATCTTGGTATTATAATCCCTCAACAACACTCCACATTTACTTTCTCTCGTGATGATGGTCCTTCTACTAGCTACGTCGTTCCTCCTCGACGTCCATATCTTCTCTTTTTTAACTTTGTTACTTATTTTCCTTATAAACGGGTCAACTTGTTAAAGTTTTTGATCAGCAAAACCTAAATGGCGACTCTTTGCTTTTGCCGCTTTCGAGCAATACTAGCACACATGTCTGTGGGTTGAAACGGCAGGAAAAAAATATCATCCACCTCTAGCTCAATAAATATGGTTCAAGACCCTTGTTCCAACATGTTCACATCTTTTATTTTAACATGGGTGTATTTGGTTGTATTCTCATCTCAAACATAATTGTTCTCTCTCCATGCATGTTCATCTCAGCACCCCTCTTCATGCATGCTCTTAGTACATTTGTGCTAAACTAGTATATACTCATACACCCTTCATATACTCTACCAAATACACAAAAATGGGTCGAGAAAGGAACTTTTGCTTTTATACATCTTTCATACACTCTACCAAACACGCGTCACACTATCGTCGCTTACCCTCATCCTCGTCCTTACCGACGGTGACCACGGTATACAGATGATCACATCACATCTTGACGTGGTCAATTTCAAAGCAATGAGCTAGGTCGCCGAATGACACATCTTTCGCGCCAACGAGAGAATCTTTAAAACCTCAAAAACTAGTCTTGTCGACATAAATGTGAGTGCCATCTCCGCGAGCTACTCCCTATATTTTATATACATAGTAGAGTATGTAAGGAATTCAACTATCTTAAAAGACATGGTAAGCTAATACGACATGGGGCAGTGCAAGAAGTTCTTAAGAAGAAAAATGGATAAAAAAAACGAATCGGCTAAACCTGAAACCATGGAGGTGGGGTGGGAGAGTGGGTGCCGAGGAAAGAAAAGTACATAAGATGGAACCCTACATATTCTTATGTAATCTTATAACAATAAAATGAGCGAAAATTGATTTGGAGGCCGAGCTCCATGGAGGTTGGTCTTTTCAAAAAAAAAATCAAAATTCACATTATTTTTACATTTCAAAAAATTCCAGAAAAAATACAAATATACATGCCATAACACACATGTGTGTAAAATTTTGGGACGTAATACATTGAAAGGACGGCTATGCAAAAAAAATCATGGCTTTTCAGCACATGATATTCGTCACCAAAGTCCATCTTCTTTGCACAGATCACATTTCAAGGTATTTCATCTTGAAATTTTACACACATACACACAACATCCTTGTATACTTGTACAATTTCTTTCAGATTTTTTTAGGCTGAAAAACAAAGTTTGATTGTAAAAAAAAAAATTGGCCTCCATGAAGGCCAAGCTCCGAAACACCCATTCTAAAATGGGAGGTAAATCATGATGATTTCATATAAAATATTTATGACCCTGTCATGATGCACGGACAATTTCTTTTCCTATGTTCTCTCCAGCGCAACATAATTCTTATGGGCCAAAAATACAAAGGCAGTTCATGCCGGAAAGAGAGGAAAAATTAAAAGTAAAGCATGTCTCACCTTATTACTCATTGCCTAGCCGATATGATCTTTATGACTACAAATAAATTCAATAACAAAATACTACAAAATAGTTACCTTGATATTGTGGCTAGTCCATATGCTAAATTTTCAACGCAGACAGTGAGGTAATAAATCTTTCATTTTCTAAAAAGAATGAATATGGGCGCTAGAACCTCATATTTCTTCAATATTTCGATGAACTTCTAGCATATAGAAGTCACTTCGTTTTTCATATATTAGGCTAGGCCTCTACATATACTCCCTCCGTTCCAAAATAGATGACCCAACTTTATACTAACTTTAGTATATAGTTGGGTCATCTATTTTGGAACGGAGGGAGTATATCAGAACGTTCCACATCAGGTTCTTCTATCTCAGCAACTTCTACAAAAAAAGGCAGATTCGACAAATCCGGCAACTTTTGCATTGTACTACGACTGGTTCATCTCGGCAACATACACAACACCAAAGTTTGCTCAAAAGTTAGCATCATGTGGAAATGTCAGGGTAGGAACTCAAAAGCAGCAGACACGAACACATAACATTGGGAGTCCAAAATGCAAACGGGAAAACAAAATTTCGCCTGCTTGACCATTCATACCACTTTCTTACTTTTTTCAACTAACCAACTGGTTGGCAACGATTAGCATGAAAACCATCTTCTACGTTCTAATCAGTAAGATGCTGCAAACTGATGCTGTAAAGCCAATGCCAGATATGAATTCCACTAGTGGTTAGGGCGCCACCCCATGGCGCGGAGTGGCGCCGCTTGAGAGGAAGTTGTGCACACATTTTCATTTTAAAAGAAATAGTCCTCGTCTCCGTCTAAAAAAACATCTTAAAAAAATCCTCATCTTCATCTAAAAAAAAAATTACCACCGCAGCCTACCAGCAAGCACCACTTGGCATAACCCTCTATTTAAAAAACACCATAGGTCATCACCTTCATCTAAAAAGAAAAAAAAATACATCTAGAAAATAATCCTCACCTTCATCTAAAAAAATTTCAAAAGATTTCTTACTATGGCCAACCAGCTTGCGCCACGTGGCATAGTTGGTTGGCCACCCTTTACACGAGGCTTAATGGGTTTAATTGGCTGCAATTCATACATTTTATGCTTCTACGAGACCTTAGTTTTCTAGATTTCCACTATAAAAAAAAGCTCCGTACAATTCCTTTTACAAATCGTTGAGCTTGATAAAAGAAAGAAAATTGTCCAGAATTTGATATTGCGAATCGTTAACTAGAAATAAAAAGCACGACTTCAGGGACCAGAGCAGTTTGCACAAGTACCACTAACGGCATTAAAAAATTCCTAATTGATTAACCAGATCAATCAATGGTCATTTTTTAAGGGAGAGGATAAGAAATTCGAAACTGGATTGAGAGGATGTTTGTTTCCTCGGACTTATTGGTTTAGGGACTTAAAAAAGTTCCTATAAGTCCCATCTAAACCAAACAAGAGGGACTTATATTTTGAGGGACTTATAGGGACTTAACGTGGGCATTTGGGACTTATCAAATAAGACTCTCAAGGAAGGACTTATAGTTGTAATATGGTCTTATAGAGACTTATAAGTCCCAGGAACCAAACAGGTAGGGATTTTTTAGGGACTTAAGACTTGTAAATTGGGACTAAAAAAAGTCCTAGGACTTATGAACCAAACAGGGCCTGAAGCACTCATAGCAAACCGTTTTCTTTTCAGACAGTCAGTAATCAGGCATCATAGCGTGGAAATCGAAGCCACATGCTAGCCTACTTCAAGACAAAAGTCCAATAATCATATAATCCAGGTAATTATTCTTATATCCAACTAATAGATGCACTGAATTTTATTTCATGTTTTCAACATCCATGCCAACATATCCCTCTTTTTTTTTGCGGTGAACCAACATATCCCTCTAAATTCATTGTGTAAGAAAAAAGCAACAGTTCGACTAAGCACCAAAGTTTAAAGAAACATTTAAATCTTATGCTCCAAAGAAAAGGATGATGCAGTTTACACACAAAAAACATCTTTGTTTTACACAAAACAGCAGAAGTTATCACTGGCAAAAAAAGATAAAAAATTACCAAGGATTGATTTATCTTGCTCATATTAGTTGTGAACTCATGGTCAAAGATAATTGTTCTAGCAATTGTTTGGAATAAACAACCTGCTATACAAATAGTAAAAATGACAGAAATAACAGCCCCTATTTTTTTAGATATAAAAAATATTTCAAAATATCTTATTCACTATGGTCAAGCAACTTGTCCACTATAACTGATAACACTGACTGTTTGATAATTGACACAGATGTCTATCTGCCTATTACCCAACCAATGTGAATAAGTGAACAAGGATGAAACCATTCCTGCTGTATCGACATGAACAGAAAACAATGCTGCAACTGTCTGAGTGCAATCGTCAAAGAATGCTATGATAAAAATGTAGTGCACATAAAGTTGTTCATTTTTTTTTTTGAGGGTCAAGTTGCTCGTATTAATTAGACTGCAGGTAAGCACATAAAGTTGCTCGTATTAATTAGACTGCAGGTAAGCACGAGGCTGTTTTCATGTAATAATAGCATAAGTTTAACTACTTCCTTCGATCCATTTTAATTGTCGTTGATTTAGTACAACTTTGTATTAAATCAGCGACGATTAATATGGATCGGAGGGAGTTTCTTTTTTTGGGGATCTATAAGTTGAACATTTAAAGGTGTTACAAGTACCAGGACATGCATCGTGATGGTTCAGTTTATCTATTTATTGCACTTGACAAATGTAGGCAACAAATGGTCAAGAAAGATTAACAAGCCTGCATTGCATACATGACAGATCAACCATGGTCGAGAAGGCGTAATACTAGCCTGAAAAAACATCCCAATTTTACCCTTAAGTGTCTTATGATTTAGCAAAAATGAGACTTGTCACAATTAACACTAAGAATCTATTTCCCATTGTACTTACTCGGAGAAGATACAGAAACTACCTTCAACAACTATCAAGTATAACAAGCCTCCAATTACTGCCAAGTGCTTGAGGCAGAAAAAGAGCCCCCAGAACACTTGATCCAAAGAATGTAGGATGGTAACTACATCTTGCAGGTATCATCTGGACAGAAAATATACATCTCTGTTCTCCATCAATCAAGAGAATCAGAAGCGGAGCCGAATGCTCTGCGCCCACATTGCCGAACAAACATAAACAGAGTACCATTAATAGATTCTTTCACAGCACTGCATAACCTTCTTGGTGCCTATATCAGCAGAATGATAGTTAGCAACTGTACAGGTTGAAAGAGTAGAGGAGATTTTTCTAGGAATGTTAGAACGAACCAGATGCCATCTTTTGCTTAATGGGGACGCAGAAACTTGAATCTCATCTATGCCAGATAAAGGAGGTGACCTAAAGCAAAACACCTTCCTTTTGAGGTCATCCCGTTCACTTGACCTTATGTAAGAGCCTCTAGTTATGTTCCCATCCTTCCAAACATCCTTCAAGAAAAATAAGACTGGCCTCTTGCACATAGACTTCTGAATTTCCTTGGTGTCAAAATCAAATTCAGTTCTCTGGCTCATCCTATTAAAAGCGATGTAAGTCCGCTCGGATCGCTCCAATTCAGGAGGAAGAAGAACACTGGGGTACACTTGAACAACATAACCCAAAGAGATGGCAAGTGTAAGCTTCTGCCTCTTATCATAACAAACTGAGCGCTGCAAGAAGCTCATGGGTTCTATTTTCATAGCCTTCGTAAAAAGCTCCAAGCTCTCAAGAGAGTTCAATCCAGGATATATAGGATCCACAAACTCCACATGGTGGATACTGATGAAAGGAGCGATTGGATGAGCAGCCAATATACCATGGGCATTGCCTCTGATATCCCACTGATTATAACATCAGAGGGAGAGTACATACATTAGGAGAGCAGGGAGGTTAGAGGGATCTATCCAAAATTCCAAATCCATAATTACATTAATGAACTGGAAAATCAATCCATGCAGTTAAAGGTCGATGCTCACACCAAACAGAACAGCTTGATCAGCAACTGTCCATTTTTTCTAACGATGTGCTTATCCAACAAAGAGATGTGCAAAGATAGCACCGTAAAACAAGTAAACAAGCAAGCAAATCCTATCATAAACAGAGGAAATCAACAGTCAAGGCCAACCAAACTTGCTTTCACTATCATAAACACTCTCGCAAGGCCCTACTTTTGTACATGCATTACAACCAGTGAGATAACACAGGACACAGCTAGGGTGGTACCACAGAGAAAGGATCAACTTTCTTTCTGTCATAACGAATCAAGCGTGATACCCATAGTAAAGTTCAAAACAGCGCACCAGCATCTAAACTTCCAAAGCAAGCTCTACAGTGGGGCTAATTCCTCAGCAATCCCCATGTTCGTTCAGTCCACATCAAGAGCGTGATACATTGCACTAATTCAAGCACGGAATGGGGAGAACTGGTTTACTAGCAGAATCTACATAGCACGACAAGCTAAGCGACCAAATTGCTTTGCTCGGGATGAGATTTATAACCATTTGATAAGATCTCTAAATAAGATAAACTCTGTAAATAGCCAAAAAAATAGTTGAATGCCGACCAAAGGTTGACGGATAATAAGCTCCATACCTGATGGAAGCCATATTCGCGGGAAAGGGGCACGCCAAGCTCCGTGATGCAAGCATGGAGGCGGTCGTCGCTTCCATACAGCCTGGGGTACCTCTCGATGCACACGTCGAGTGTCCGCGCGAGCGCAGCGGCGAGGGGGAAGCTGAGCGCGACGCCTCCGCCTCCGAACGCCATGCCGTGGCTGAAATAGGTATTGGCCGAGTGGCTCTCCGACGGGGCCCCGACGTACACCATCTCCCTCCAGTCGTACTTCCCGAGCACCGCCACCAGGTTGTCCGGGGACAGCACGGTGTCGTCGTCCACGAGCACCACCCACCGCGCGCCCCCACCCCCCACGAGCCGCACGGCCTCGGCAGCGATGCGCGCGATCCGGAGCCCAGAAGGGTGGCCCGTCGGGTTGGTGTACCGGAAGCGCGAGGTGTCCTCGGACACCCGGATCGGCGGGAGCGAGTCCTCCCCGGCAGCGCTGGGCCCCGGCGCGCCGGGCGCGCTGGCGTCGAGCCAGACGTGGCCGCGCATGGAGGCGGGATCCCACCAGAGGCGGATGTACTCGCGGCGACGCGGCCAGAGGTGCGCCGAGCCGGCGATCCCGAAGACGATGTGGGCGAGCGAAAGCGGGGAGGACGCGTCGCCGGCGGAGAGCGCCTCATCCGCCGCCGCCGCGTAGGACAGCGCGGAGGAGGAGGACGCCACGGGGGCCTGGGCCGGGGACAGCACGAGCACGAGCCACAGCGCGGTGGCGAGGAGCAGCGAGAGCAGCGCCAGCAGCGCGGTGGCGAGCGGGCAGCCCCGCGGCGGGAGGATGGAGAGCGGGAGCTGGAGCGGCGTCGGCGGCGCTGGCGAGGCTTGGTGGGGCTTGGGCATTGGACACGGGGGTCGACGCCGCCGCCGATGGCCACGGACATTTGGGGGCGTGGCGGGACGTGGCGATGTTTCAGGGATGGGCGGTGCGTGCGACACACCCGGTGGGTGGTGGGTGGTTGTAATAGCACAGGTCCTTCACACTACATTCGAACCGTGCATTTCCCCTTGTATTTCAAAAAGAACGTCTGGATTTTACTTATAAAACATTACGAATCTTTGCACGATTGCGTTACTTAAACAATCCGCTGTTTTTTGAATTTGAAAGGGCGGTGTCATTTATTTATTCCAGTCTAGCCTGAGGACGGGTTAAGGTTTGAAGCGTGCACGTGGGGGGCGATGGGTTAGCGTGATTAGTGGTGGACTGCTAGCTACGATGCCACGAATTCTTTTGACTTGCAGTGTAGGCGACATGTATGCTTGAGAACAGAATAGAATATATCTCCGCGCAGTGAGCCGCAAGCTTGGTCGTTGAAAGGGTGACATGTGTCTAGGGAATGTGCTTATATAGAGGATAATGTATATCTCTTTCACTCCGCAAAATAATATGTGAGTATATATTTTTCAGGGGACCCGTGGAACATATTCGCTGATCTACCTCATCAATGATTGTACTAGTACCAATATTTGTGGGGATGGGTTATTGCAATGTGGTATGGCGGTATTATCCTAGTGAGCAACAGGTGTGTGGCTGGCTTGAGTTTGCAGCAAGTAGTTGGAATCAGTGAGAGTTACAGTACCTGTCAAGCAACCTTATTAGGCTACATCAAATATCAGTTTCCAAAATAGTGGGCTAATGATGAGCAGTTGCCAGTTGGAAGGTGAACTAATTACTGCCTGTTTATGCATGTTGTATTTGATGTGATGGAGCTAGTAGCTGTGTTGTGTGATAGTGATATGAGGCTGAGAGCTCTGTGCTTCCTCACAAACAAAAAAAACCGTGGATGTTGGAGTGATCTCATGTGGTGCAACCGTGCAAGGCATCCATGTATTTTTCTCTTTGTTTGGATTTAATATTATCCGTCCGTAGCTATTTCCCGTTGTCTTTCTCGTGAGGATCCTCCTATCGTTGGTTTTGAGGTCATGAGCGTCCATATCTGGATATACTTTGTAGAACTTCATAAGTGTACCACAAATTCAAGTGTATGCTAAGCCACTGGAAAGCAAAACATCCAAACAAAAAATTGTGCGATATACGTTTTCCGTCGAGTCTCCATTACTCCATCTTCACAATAGTTTTAACTATTTATATATACGAAAGAAAATTAAAAGTGGGCGACTGGTGCTTTGCTTTAGAATTCGCTTGTATTTTTATTTTCTCGTGAATACGCTTGAGAGCATATCTTTGCATTGATAGGGAGAAGAAGAAAAACACATCCACACCACGGGCACGTGCACAACTTGGCGCGTCCGTGGCGACCGTATGAGCAGAGAGCAATGGGGATGCTCAGCCCCTCACAAATATTCAGGTCACGAGGATGAAAGAGCTAAGTCTTTTGGCTCCGGCAATGGCCAAGGAGCGAGCATCGTCCTTGATTGCGGCGACAACGGCCGAGGTAGAGGGAGCGATCTTGTCAAAGATGGCTGCATTGCGGTGATGCCACAGTGCACATGTGATGAGGACATGACTACCTTGGATACGACCAAAAATATTGCATACATGCATATTTGTCAGGTGATTTCTAATGCAAACTATTCAATAATCTATTTATGTTATCCAAAACAAAAATACTTCACACACTTTTGTGTTTTGTCTAATTGCAGGTGTATGGGACATTTGTACAATCCACATATGAAGATAAGGGAAAAGGAGAAGTCTAGGTTGTGTTCAAAAAGTCCTCTCACGTCATTTTTGAGCCAAGAGAAGATAGAGTCCAAGTCTCTCACGTTCTGGATTCAGATTCGAACTGCACAGACATACCTGACTCAAAACGCCAACAACTTTTTTATACGGACTCCGAATTGGGTGATTCTTTTTTGTTGGAAACTAGATTTCGTGCTCTTTCCAACCCAATTGGATTCACCTTCAAATTCGTCTGGAGCGTTGAGTTACGGACGAAACAATCTGACGTTGCAGCAGAATCCGAGTTAAACTACAAGCCCAAAGGTGTTGCATCACCTCCACTTGGGCCCATGAGCCTTGTATGGCCTAGGGTTAGTTTTAGGCTGCCTTGGGACGTCCTTCCACCTCCTTGGCCGCCACCCCTTGCTCCTATATAAGTAGATCCATCTAGTAGCTTTTTTCTTGGGATTTGTTTAGTTAAAAGTTAGCCATTGCAACTTCGTGTACTTCGTTTGTGTCCAACGACCAGACCAAGACCGCTTCCGGATCCCCACCATTATCAATACTTCATATATATTTGCGATATTCAGATTGCTTTATCATATTCTTGCTCGTTCTTTGATTGCTTGCAGGAATAGACCTTCGTGGTCAGGCTGACCGTGCTTTCAGCATCGTCAGTAACCTCAGGAGATTGGTTTAGCGGTTGATAAGGCGCAACGTCGTGCACGTTTGTAGTCGGATCGTCAAAGTCGTCTCCACCAAATCAATAGTTATCATCTCATCGAAAGATCGGGACCCTCGCCTCTATCAAGTGATATCAGTTTTCAGGTTGCTCGGTGAGAATTTCCAGTTTTCCTAGATTAGATTTATTTTCTTACCTATTGTCCAAGAAAAAGCCACAAAAAAGAGTTAGATCTATTCATACTTGGTCCAAGCCAGTCTGAGCCTTTGCAATTTTCTTTTCATTGCTTGCATAGTTGAATTATCGGTTGCATCGTCGTGTCGAGTTGTTGATCTTAGTGTCTAGTTCGTTTAGAGTTTCGAGTTCTGTTCATATTAGTCACGCCACCGCTGCATCATTATCTCTTCCGTTGTCCACCACCCATCCATCAATTTCCACCACGTGCTACCCACCATTCATTGTCATAATAATAGTTGAGATTGTTCACATCTTCGCTTGATCCAATCTGCATCTTATCTAGTTTGTTTTGGAAAGAGGGAGAAAAAAAGAGAGAAAAAAACGAGAGAGAAAAAAGTCAGAGAAAAAAAGGAGAGAAAGAAAAAAGTGTGAGGAAAAAAAGAGAGAAGAAAAAAAACAAAATTCGGATCTTTTTAGACTCAATCTCGTAGTTGAATTCGGATTGGAATCTGTTTTATGCACTGTTCAGTAAAACAGGCATAACTTCCTCATACGAAGTCCGTTTTGCCTCCGCGAGTATTCAAACGAAAGCTAGCGACGAGCCGCATCTAAATAGTTGAAGAAGCTAGTTCAATATTTGGCACCTCAAAATCGGCTTCTAAATAGGTCTTTTTGCCCTCCGAAGTTTATGAACACAGCTTATTCCAGTTTTTCAGGCCGGTTTTTGAATTTTTTGACTCCTCATATCAACTCGGAATTGAGTGATTCTTTTTGTGTTTGAAAGCTTGAGTCAATACCATTCTTGAAAAAAAAACCAAAAAAATCGGCACAAACTTTTTCAAAGGAAAGTTGGAGACAAAATTGTTGATATATCCTGCTTGGCTGTTGTTTCACATCATTATCTTTACTGCCGTTGTGATCTTCACTTATATCTTGCTGTCTAGAGCTACTTAGTATCCTTCATTGATGCTAGTTGTGCTACGACGTGACCTTATTAGTGTTCTAGGCTCGCGTCTCTAGTTCGGTCTAGCCTAGGACCAGCACAGTATCGTCGTTGAGCGTTTATTCAACATTGCATCTCTGAATTGATTATTGCTAATCTTTTGCTACTATATATAGCCAACCCAGCTCCACATATTTCTACACCGTGTATGCGTGCGTTCCCCTGGCAATCGCTTTACACAATCTTCAGAGTTATTTGACACCGCTAGTTGTCTGTCACCACCTGCTTCTTGGTAAGAACTTGGAAGATATTGATATTTGCTTTACTGTGAGCGCTTTACCACCACACCCTAGTAGTTCATAGGAACATTATTCTTGAATTTTGTTTCTTGTTTCTACTAATCATGACAGGTTCCGAAGATAGAAGTTCTTGGACGACGGACACATCTTCACCATCACGAGAGTTGGGACAACACACATAAGCACATGGTCATGTTATCTTTTTACCGTCATTTGAGGGTAGATTTAATCCTACTATTTATCTAGCTTGGGAGCTTGAAGTAGAACAAGTTTTTAGTCACCATGACTTTTCTGAACTTGAGCGAGTGCGAGCAGCCACTAGAGCATTTACTGATTTTGCTTCTGTTTGGTGGAGTGTACATTGTAAGAAAAACATTGATAACCAACCCACAACTTGGAAAGTTTTGAAAGCTATAATGAGACAACAATTTTTCCCTCCTTATTATCGTCGTGAATTGCTTTGCAAATTTGAACAATTTAAGCAAGGCAACAACACTGTTCATGCTTACTACCAAGAGTTCAAATCTTATATGCATCATTGTGACATAGAAGAATCTGAGAATGATACAATGAGTAGATTTTTTGGTGGTTTGAACCATGATATTCAGGCAAGATTTCAGTATATTCCTCGTTGCATTACTGGTATGTATGTCCGTGCTTGTACCTTTGAGAGACAGATACAGGAGGATGCATTAGGTGACTACAACAACTACTATTCCAGTTCATGCTCACTCGGTGGGTTCCTCCATCATTGCACCTCGGATTATGAGCGCGGTATCATCTCAAGGGTATGGTACATTGTCAACGTCCGTACCTACATCAGCTACATCTTTGCCACAAGATAATAGTAAAGGTATTGATGATATAACTTCACATGAGAATGATGCATGCCTAGTTAACTTGAATGCATCATGTATTGAGTTACCTGTTGATTTGAGCACACCACCTATTTTAGAGAATCTTGTTACTGTCATGAATGCGTCATGTGACCAAACAACTGAAATATCAACAATTTTGAGTGCACCCATTGAATTAACTGTTGATGCAAAAGAACTAATGTTTAATCATTTTGATATGGCCTCCAGTCTTGGTGATGATTCTGTGTCCAATGACTTATTG